GTGGGTTGGAGAAGGGTCTGTCCCAACAGTGGCTGACACTGTGGCCTGGAGCACGTGGTGGGGGCAATAGAAACCACGGCTCTAGCAGGATGCCGGGCCCGGGAGGAGCGGAAAACCGGCTGCTGTGGACACAGATCTGTCAAAATGGAAAGGGTGAGGTCAGGGGCAGAGCCGAGGGCCAGATGCAATGCGCTAGCCCCCTCCGCCCCTCCTCTGACCCAGGACTGGTACTACAAGACCCCGCTGGGTAAGAAGTGGATGGAATTTAGCAAAGACCAGGACGCCGCCGAGGAGGCCAAGCTGGCAAAGGAGAAAAAAAAACGGAAGTGACGGCCAAGGCTGGGTGTCCGAGAGGAGCCGTGGGACTGGGGGCAAAGGGGCCAGGGGGCAGAGACATAAATGCCCAGATGGCTCAGGGACCAGCTCTTCGCCTGTCTCTGTGCTTCCGCCCCTTGTTCCGTGTCACTGGCGCCCACCTCACACCCCACCCCGACGAGGTTCGATGACGTTCGATGAGGTTCTCTGATCCCAGATCCCTGTCCTCCAAGCCCCCGTCATTTCCCTGTCTTGGCCCCCCACTCCCTTTCTTCCTCAAGGTATGGATGGGAGGAAAATGGGAAGAGAAGGGGAGAGAAGGAAGATCTCGGTAAGCAGAGAAAAAGGGGAAAGCAGGGGTCTGGAGGCCAGCAGACCCTGGTCCAGCCCCGCTCAGCACTGCGGCCCTGTGTGGGCTGCACAGACCTTTCCTGTCTCTGGGCCTCAGTGTCCTCATCTGTAAAGTGACGAGAGATTGGACCAGCTGATCTCCAAGGTCCCTTCTACTCCAGGGTTGGATTATTCCTACTAAGGTGTCTGGGAAGTCAGGGAGGTGGCTGGGTGGAGAGGGAAAGGGTGGGGAGATGGAGGCGTTTGTGGCTGCTGGTAGATCCAGTGCCTCTTCCGAGTGGTCTTCACTTCTTTCCTCTGGACACTGTCCTCCTCGCACCTGACTTTATCTTTGACCCTGAGCCAGGCCCCAGGGGGCTGAGTGGGACACAGCTCCTGCTTGTGGGCAGAAGTCCATCTGTGGGTCCCCCTTGCGGGGAGAGAAGAGCTGGGGGAAGGTGCAGTCAGGCAACTCTGGGAGCCCCAGGGTTCTCCCTGAAGAAGCAGTGTAGAGAGTGTGCGAATAAAGGCGATGCTTCCAGTGGTCGCAAAGGCGGTGAGAGCCGGGCGGGGCGAGGCCACGGGGGCTGGAGCTCTCTCATGTGGGCAGCAGTGGCTTGGCGGAGCCGGGGCTGGTTTGGGTTTTCTTTCTCCAGTTTTTCATTTTCTCTCCCCAAAGGAGAGCAGTCCCGTTCTCCTAATGTGCCTGAAGGGGCAGAGCCGCTTCCCCCTCTCAGTTTCCAGCTGAGCCCCCTTCTAACCATGGCAGACAGAGGGGCTGTGGGAGATCCAGGGCTCGTCCCCGGAGATGGGGGGTCAGCAGTAGGATAGGGATGGGGGTCAGCACTTGGATGGGGTCATCACTTGGATGGAGGTGGGGGGTCAGCACTAGGATGGGGATGGGGGGTCAGCACTTGGATGGGGTCAGCAATTGGATGGGGTGGGGGGTCAGCATTAGCATGAGTGTGGGGTGTTAGTCCCCAGGATGGGGGTGTTCTATTGCTGCCTGTGGGAGTCCTATTCCCCTGGGGAGAGTCTGTCTTCCTAAGAACCCCTGGAGGAGAAAACTCATAGGGGGCCTTCTCTGCATTTGTCATTACTATTGTGAAACGTTCCCTTAGGTTTGGGAGTGTGAAGGTGTTGGGCTCACTGATGACATTTGGGAAGACAAGAAAAGTTATGTGCACCCACCTGCTCTCCCTCTGGGATCAGAGCCCCAGCAGCTGGTGGCCTCTTGGTGGAGCCGGTAATAGCAAGAGTGAGAAGTGGCAGCTGGAGAGCCCACCCCACCCCTTCTGGTCCCTGCTCTGCAACAAGTCGTCACACCAGGAGCCAAGCCCGTCCCACCTCTGGGCTCCGTTTTCCTTTACCTGTGAAACTGTGATGGATGCCACCATCTGGGTAGTCCCTTCAGTCCTGTTACGAAACAACTCGGGGTGAAGCTCAGGGTTGGAGGGTGCCATCCTCACTGGATCTCCAGGCCCCTCCTCAGTTCCCTCTGCCAGCCTAAGCCTCATTCCCCAGGACCAACAGCTGGGACTGCTGAGGCTATTTATGGCTTGGCTCCCCTGCCCCTCCCACAACGGGCCTTGCCTGGCTCCGGCCCAGCGCCTGCCTGCCGGCGTCCCCCTGAGTCCTGCTTCTCTGGCTCTCTCTCCCACAAACTAGCCATGCCTGGGAGAAGGGGGTCCCCTCCCCACTGGGGACACCATCTTGGGTGCTTCCCCTCGGCCCCTGCCTGCCAAGCCTGGGGTCCCCGGTCTCGCCCAGCCTGGGATCCCCCGCGGCCAAAGCCTCTGCTGTGCCGTGACATGGCCCTGCAGAATGCCCTGTACACCGGAGACCTGGCGAGGTTGCTGGAGCTGTTTCCCCCGCACAGCACAGCCGACCTGCTGCTGGAGAGCCGGGCTGCTGAGCCTCGCTGGAGCAGCCACCAGAGGGGTGAGGGGCAGCGGGGACGGGCGAGACCAGGGGGCTGGGCTGACTGCATCAGGCACAGAGGTGCCAAGTGCTTGAGGAAGAGAAAAAGCCCCTGGCGGTGTCTCCCTTACCCCAAAGCTTGCTTAAACCTTGGCCCAGGAGTGAAGTCATGTGGAGCCCAGAATAGCTCTTGTGGAACCGCGTGGCTGGGTCAGGCTCGGCTCGGGCTCAGCTCAGGGACACAGACCCTTTCCTTCCATCTGCCTGTTTCCCTTTTCTCTCTTTGCCTTTTGGCCCTCACCTCTCCTCCCCCATCCCCTTCCCATATGCTCACACACTGTCCTAATGAGCTGGTCCCCGGAAGAGTGCAGGGGGCAGGAGGAGCCCCTGGGTGACAGACGGGCCCTCTGTGCCAGGCTGGTGGAGAAGCCCAGCGGCGGGTCCGCAGAGCACCCGACGTCTGGCCCGGGACCCATCGTCACCCGCACGGCCTCGGGACCTGCCCTGGCCTTCTGGCAGGCGTTGCTGGCCGGGGACGTGGGCTCTGTCTCCCACATCCTCGCCGACTCCGGCACCGGCCTGGAACCAGATTCCATCTTTGATACCAGCGACCCAGAGCGATGGAGGGATTTCCGCTTCAACATTCGCGCTCTGAGTACGGGGTACTGGGGGGTCTGAGTAGGGGGGAGAGGGGAGGCTGGGAATGGAGCTCCGGGCTCCCTCTTCCTGGTCTCTGCCCACCTCCCCCACTGCCTGGCAGCTCTTTGCTTCCCTCCAGTGTCTGAGGCCCATGTCTCCTCTCTCCCTAGGACTCTGGTCTCTGACGTACCAAGAGGAGCTGACCACCCCACTGCACGTGGCAGCCAGCCGGGGCCACACGGATGTTGTGCAACTGCTGCTGAGGCGGCGGGCGAGGCCTGACAGTGCCCCCGGGGGCCGTACAGCCCTGCATGAGGCCTGCGCTGCGGGCCACGCTCCCTGTGTCCATGCGCTGCTGGTGGCAGGAGCCGACCCCAACATCCCTGACCAGGATGGGAAACGCCCTTTGCATCTCTGCCGGGGGGCTGGCACCCTTGAGTGAGTGACTCCTCACCCCAACCCCCATTCCACTCCTGGGCAGACAAAGCGATGACCTCAGGGGGCACGGGGGAGCATGTCAGGGGCTGGCAGGCTGCTGGATGGAGAAGTCAGGGCTCAGGTAAGGAGTCAGGATGCAATTGCTTCCCAAACCATCCAACCACTGGTCCCAGGAATTTTGGAATGGCCTGAACTTGGGACAGTTTCTGCTTCCCCAGAGCGGGAGGAAGGCTGTGGCACGGGCCAGCTGCATGGCCTGCATTGGAGAACTTGTCTGGATTCATTCCTGGGATCCATACTGTGCTATAAAGTTTTCATGTGTTCTAAGTTTATGCTATGTTCCAGGACTGTGGTAAGTGCAGCAACTGAGGCACGGTCCTGCCCTCAGGGACCAACTATCCAGTGGTCCAGATAGGCTGTAAAGACAGCGACTTCCAGGTAGAGCCTGCGTTGGTCCCTGCGGGCGGGGTCTGGTTCTTAACTTGGCAGGTCTGGCATTTCCAGGTTGGCAGGCACCCTGATTAATGCGCTCAGGGACCGAGTCCAGCTAACCAAACTCACAAGAAACTAGTAGATATACCCAAACGTGACATCTTATCATTTACTGTAGGAAATATTCCAACTAATTGTGCCCTATGTCTAGGGAACCTTCGAGGATGGGAACCTCACAATTTTTTTTCAATTTATCTTATTACTTTTTAAAATATGTTATTGCCTGGCCAACCTGGCTCAGCGGTTGAACATTGACCTAGGATCCAGGAGATCGCAGTTTGATTCCCAGTCAGGGCACATGCCCGGGCAGGGGGTGTGCAGGAGGCAGCCGATCAATGACTCTCTCATCATTGATGTTTCTCTCTCTCTCCCTCCCTTCCTCTCTCTGAAATCAATATATATATTTTTAAAATATGTTTTTATTGATTTTATTTTAGAGAGCGAGAAGAAAGAGGGAGAGAGGGATAGAAACATCGATGAGAGAGAAACATCAACATCGATCGGCTGCCTCCTGCACACTCTCCACTGGGGATCGAGCCCGAAACCTGGGCATGTGCCCTGAGCGGGAATCGAACCACAATCTCCTAGGTCGATGCTCAACCCCTAAGCCATGCCGGCTGGGCTTCTGTCTATGAATTTGACTTCTCTGACTACCTCTTATAAGTGAAATCACATAGTGTTTGTCCTTTTGTGACTGGCTTATATCACTTAGCATAATGTCCTCAGAATGTTGACCAGGGATGAGATAGGAGGTGAGGCATACAGAACCAGGAGCCACAAAAGCTCCCCCGGGCTTGCTTTGCTCAGACTGGTGGGGATGCAGGGGTGAAGGACTATACCCCATTTTTCTCTCCCCCTCCCCCCC